CCAGATAATCTCACAAGAAATAAAGGGAAATCCCAGGTATCAGAATAAGAGAAGAAACTGAAAAACAGAGTGACAAGCACTTGAGCTGTTGCTCTGGCTGTCCTGGGTGGGGGGAGGTTGGGCAGGGGTTTTAGTTACTTACCTGGTGGGAATTTAACCTCCATGAAGGGAGAGAAAACAAGATTTTGGCCTGAAGATGGCAGGGAGTTGGAACGGTGAAGAGGTGAACCTAAAAAAATCTGCCCAATAAGACAGAGAGACAACAAAGGATGATGGATTCTGGATGAAAAGGGAGGTCTGCCCCAAGACATTAAAACCCTGGGCTTGGGCCTCACACCAGTTTGGCTCTAAATTTTCAGTACAAGGAATAATCTAGAAACTACCAATCCCAAAATTAAAAACTGGTACAGGACTAGCAATACTCTTGGTATAAAAATACAAGACATGAATCATTTTTTAGTAGAAACATGTCCCAAATATTGCATGGAACATACATGAAAAAAATTATTTGTTTATCTGAAATTAAAGCTTAACTAGGTGTCCTGTATTTTATCTGGCATCTCTACCTAGTGTACTTGACAGATGCAAATGCAAAACCACTAAGAAAAGACAATATTAGAAGATTTTCACAAGGAAGAAAAAGCCTCACAAAAGAAGGACTCACATCAAAAATTTCAAAACACACCAAGAAGCAAGCAATCGTGAACAAGAGTCAATCAAAACAACAAATAGGTCTTAAGAACTTTTAACCGTTCCTTTAAAAAATATGTACTGAACCATGTTCTAGATGCTGGGGATATGCAGGGAACAGAACAGACAAATCCCTTCCCTCATGGGATACAGTCTAGAGGAAGAGAAAAATAATAAGCAAAAAATAAAAATGTGTGCTATGTTAGTGATAAACATTAAGGAGAAAGGTAAAGCAGAAAGGGAGGTAGAAAATGTGTTAGGGGAGGTGGTTATAGTTTTGGGGCAGGGAGGGGAGGGAAGACCTCATGGAGGTTATGTTTGAATGCAGACTTGATGAAGGCGAAAGAACACGCCACTCAGGTATCCAGGGGAAGTTTTCCAGGAAGAGAGAACAGCAAGCACAAAGGTTTCAAGATGGGTGTGCCCCTGGCATGTCCAAGTAACAGCCAGGAGGCCCACGTGGCTGGAGCTGGGGGAACAGGTGGGGAGTAGTGGGGAGGTCGGGGAGGTGAAGGCCCGATCGGAGATGCAGATCACAGACTTGTCCTACCCGATACAGTAGCCACCAGCCACAGGTGACTATTTACTTTTAACTAAATTAAAATTAAATGAAATTAAAAGGTGATTTCGCAGTCACTCCAGCCACATTTCAAGTGCTCAGTAGCCGTATGTGAGTAGTGGCCATCATATTAGGCACCTCAGAGAATATCTCCATCGTTGCAAAAGTTCTATTGGATGGTGTTGGCAGAGCCTTATAAATCATTGTAGAGACTTTGGCTTTTACTCTAAATGAAATGAAGATAACAGAAAAATAAGAAAGAGAACATAACGTTGGTATGTTTCAATGATTAAAAGAAGGAATCGAAGCTCAAGAAAATACCAAGACTGTGGAAAAGGGCAGATTTGAAAAAGAATCAACAGAACTTCTAGAAATTTTTTTAAAAAACGTTAATATCTCATGGCTAAATTAAACAGCAGATATGATAGTGGAAGGAAGAATTAGTGAGCTGGATGGTCTTCTATAATTTTACAGTGTTTCATGTGAGCCAGACATTGCTCTAAAGCTTCTTTTAATCTTCACAGCAGCCCTAAGTAGGTGATTAATACTGTTTTCCCCACAGCATGGAATCAGAGGCACCTCATCCAAGCAATCTGAAGTCTGTGCACTCAACAGCCATGCCATATTGTCTTTCAGGATTCTACTCAGAACGCAGCACAGAAAGATAAAGAGGTGAAAAATAAGAGGGATTAAGAGACAGATCCCCATACCTGCCAGCTACCAAAAAGAAAAAAGAGACATAGGAGATAGAATGAGAAAGTCTAATAAGCATTCGATGGGAATTCCAGAAGGAAAGAATAAAGAAAACAACAACAAAAAAGATGGCTGAGAATTTTTCAGTTGTTGAAGATGAATTCTAAGATTCAAGAAGTCCCAACCAATATGATACGAATATATTCACAGGTGAACACATAGCAAAGTTGCAGAATATCAAAGAGAGAAAAATCTTAAAAGCCTCTAGGGAAATTTATTTTTGGAACAGGGAGAGGCTGGGAGCATAGTGGGAGACGAGAGATCTAGAGTGGGTTGTGAATACAGCAGTGATGGCGTGCAGGGAGGCACTGGGTGACTGGATGGGCTGTGTTTTGGCAGGAAATACTAGCAGGCTGGAGTAAGTGATTATATTCAACCCCAGCTTCCCTTTAGCAGGATTCAACTGTTCCCAGGTCCTGGGGAGAGCCCAGACATGCTCTCTCAACTCAGGCAAGTACAGGGGGATCATTACTCTCAGAACCTTAATAACTATTTGCTGCAAAAATGAATGTAAGATGAACATTTTAGGAATAGTGAGGCCAACCTGGTGGCCTCACTTGGACTGGTGTGACTGGTCACGGTGAACCACGTATTTAGGAAAGTCCTCATAACTATTTATGGTGTCTATAGTTGTGCCTATAATATGTGATTTCATTATTTGCTAAGAATCCAAAGCAGTAAAAAATAAACGATCTCTCACACCCTTTCTGGATATTCTCTAGGCTGATTATAAACGTTAATGAAATGTTAGTGAAAGTTTACAGTAATAAAATCCAGAGCAAAGTTTCAGCAGCTTCCAGCCAGTGTGGTTTTGTTTGTCAAAGCAGATGTGTTTCAGCGACAATTGTAAGAACTGACAGAGGGCAATCTCTGCCTCCCTACAGGACTTGATAACAGAAGAAACCAGACAATTAGAATTATCTAATTCACGCCTTACCACCCATGCTAATGTTGTAAAACACCCAAAAAGAAAGATAAATTTTTCTGCTCTTATCTGCTAGTTTAGGTTTAACCGTGTGGGGTTTATCAGTCCTTTCCACCCATCCACCCTAGTCTCCACAGTGAGGCCACCCTGAGGAAGTGCTGTTCCAAAACAAGGTCCTGTTCTCCCTCTTCTGTCATGATTAAATGTGATGAATAAAGATAGCTCTATTGTAAAGAAGAGGTATAGGTCCATGTTTCTTATGGATTAATATTTTAATGTTAAGATGCTATAAACATCCTACTGAAGGCCTGGATTAGAAAAAAGGCCTATTACAGAATAAACACTTTGATAAATGTTGTTCCAATTAATTCAGTAAGCTTTGGAGGAAGAAAGCATGTTGACACCATTTTCGAACATGAGTAAACTGAGGCTCAGCTTTATATAACTAGCCAAAGATTTGTCATCTACTTTGCGTGGCACAGCAGGGTCTGCAACGAAGACTATCTGACTCCAAGGCCCCACTCTTTCTACTTTCCCCCCTACCCTTTCATGGAGGCTGAGACTTGAGTGCTGCCTTCAGCAGCCCTGCAAGCAGGTCACCAGTCAGGGGCACTGTGATTTGGCATAGTTTATTACAATTAGTAAGCACAAAAACCATGTAAACTCCACAAGTAAACTATTTATCTTCTGCAATAACCAACAGATAGTCTGCCACGACCTTCCAGCACCCTCACTATTTTAACATATATACATTTCACAGAAAGTGAGACCCATACAAATACAGTTATAATACATTTTTTAAAGAAAGGATTTTTGGTCCACATTTCCTATTAAAAAACAAACATACATTTTCCTCTTTGGCAAAAGAGGTTAAATCCCCCACAGTTAACTCACAAAGCAAACTCAGATAAAAACTACTGAACATAAGGTACAGTTGAGGTCTGGGCTATTCTAGAATTATACACACATACTGGAGGGGAAAATTATTTCTTACGAAATCAGTTCAGTTCCCAACCATCTCAGTAGAAAAGCTCTATTTAGACTTGGCCTTGGTCGCTTCTGTAAGAAGACATTTCAAATAGCTTTTTGTTTTTCAGGGGAAAATGGAAGTCACGAAAATGTACTATTTCTGAAGAAAGTCATGAAAAGTGTGAGCATCTGACCCCAGCAATGTTTTTTAATCCGAGGTACAAAAACATCTGACACAGTAATTCAGACTGTGATTGCTGTGCCATCTTTATTTCAATTTGTTGAGGGAACAGTTTTGGTTGCCTGGAAGTCTGGGCATTTGGCTTTGCAGTTTGAAGAGGCTAATTTGCATATGAAGGCTGCACAGTGTCTGCCAGGCTGGAGGCGAGGAGGAAGCAGTGTGAAGGCCAGTTCCTCAGGGAGTCCATTTCCTCCGGCCTGCAGCAGCTGAGTCCCCTGCAGGCCACAGGACGGACGCTGGGCTGCCCTGACTGGCCACTTCACGTCCCCATCTGAAGTGGAGTCTAAGGAAACAGACAGCTGCTGAGGTGTTGTTTGTTTTTAACGTACATTTATAATGACTAAACAAACAACCACTCTGGTGTGCTTTTCATGCTTCAAGTAATTTCATTTCTCCCAGGAGAAGAATGTGAAAAATGCTTTTAGTTGTAGTTATCAAAGGAAAGGAAATGAGCCACAACAACAACAAGATTAAGTTTAAACAGACCTGCTGTTAACACAGTATCAAATAAAATATACCGCAAAAATGAACATACTATTATGTATGTTTTGGCTACAGCTGCATTTTCCCACTGAACCTTTGTGCAGAACTAAAATCGGATGAAGCCAACTTAAGTTACTTTAATTTTTTTTAAATACGACTCTGTACAGATTGCACGTTTTACACCAAAGCAGCTCAATATCACAGTTAGAGAAATGAAAATGCCATCTGAAAATTTTCATTTTCCTAGCCCAACAAAACCCAGCAGACTCTCGTCTTCAGGGTCAGAACAAAACCAGCTGCACAATTTTGTAAACAGGATGAGAGGTTGTCTCTAGGATCCTACTGAACCTCACACGCACATGCACACACGCGTGCACACACGCACAGCACTGTCCCTTCTTCCAGTGACTTGCAGCAGCGCGACGCTCAGTACCACAGCAGGTTTCTTTCACATTGTGTTCACAGAAGAGCAGTCGCGGCCGTCTGGTTGAGGGGTGTAAGGCAGTCTCTCGGGGCTGCATAACCATCATTCGTCCCGGGATCTGTCTGCGGATTCGGAGGGTCAGGGTCTCTGGCTTTGGGCTTGTCGTAGGCGCCGTGCGCAGGCTTGGGGCCGAGCAACACGGGGTAGTCTCTGCTCCTGCTGCCGGCTGCGGCCGGGGAGAAGCTGCCCGAGGACAGGGAGTGCTTGTGCGCCGGCCGGGGCCCGGGCACGCGGTAGCCGCCCTGCGCCGAGAAGGTGTGCGCGCGCAGCACGTGCCGCTCCACGATGGGCGTGGCGTACTCGGGCTCCGGGGACGTCAAGGGCAGCGCGTACTCGTGGCGGCCGGTCCCGAGCGGGCAGTCGTAGTGGCCGCCGGCCTCGGCGGCGTCCGTGTCCATGGGCCGGAAGGTGGAGCCCTTCCTCGTGACTGTCCCGGTGCCAATCATGAGGGGCTGCTGGTAATCTGCAACCGAATGAGCAGAAGACACATCATCTGTGCCCCACTGCGATACGTTTGCAGAAGGGGATGCTCTGCTTATGGCAGTGGTGGACCACTCTCCACGGAGTGCCTGAGGTGGCCCAGGCACCTAGGAAGGATGCCAGTGCTTTAGGAAGCCTCAAGGGTCACGGGAGACCAGAGAAGGGGTAGATTACGTTTAACCCTGTCTATTTAACCCTGGGCTGTGGGGAGAAGTACTTAATGGAGAAAGTGGCTCTTGAAATGCTACTTTGGGAGGTGGAGGTAAAACCGAGGAAAGGGAGGAGATAACCATGAAAACGGAGTTTGAAGTGTCCAGAGTATGAGGGATGCGGAGTAGTCTGTTCAATGAGATATAAGATTGTAGGTCAGGGCCTAGTGGTGACGGTAATGAAAGAGCTCACATTTACTGAGCCCTTACTCTGTGCCAGGCACCGTTCTAAGATAGTGAGATACAAATTAATTAATTTAATCTTCAAAAGAAGCCTATGATGTCAGGACTATTGTTTCCATTTTATAAATGGGAAACCAAAGCAGAGAGAGACTAAACGATTTTTCCCAGATCAGACAGCTAACAGGTGGTGGAACCAGGATTTGAACACAGGTCCCGAGTGTGTGCTGTTAACCAACTGGTAGATCATGGGAAACACTGAGTGCCTTGCTAGGAAGTTTGTTTAATTCTAGGGAAACGTACAGATCGGCAGAGTTAGAGGTAATTGTGGAGGCAGGTTGAAGAAGAAAAGATTAAAAAAGTGAGACATAAAAAGCAAAGAGAAATGAAACACAGAGGTCACAAACCAGGGGAGTAGAAAGGCCACACTCTGGGGACACTATTCAGAGGGATTTTTTTACCAATGACATGTGGGGTGTGAGGAAAGAGGGAGCCCAGCACCCTTCCCAGAGGGTAAGCCTGGATGGCTGGGGTGCACAGTTGGGAAGCCACTTAGAAAAGAAATGTACAGAGCATATGTGGTGAGGGTTAGAAATGATGGACTTGATTTTGGAAACACTGAGGAACTGGTGACACTGGCATGTAGAGGTGACCAGCAGACCACTGAGAATTACTGACTGACTGGGGACTAGGAAGGACATCTGGGCAGCAGAAGCAGCATTGACAATCATGCAAGGAAAGGCTCTGCAGCAAGCTCCAGAAGGGGCTAAGACTGTTCAGGGGAGACACCACAGGTGAGTGGGGCAAGACAGGGACTGGGGCCTTGCATGTTTACGGAGGCTGAGAAGGACCATTCAGGGAGGAAGGAAGAGAGGCTGTACCAGAAGCTGAAGGAGAATGAGGAAGAAGAAAACAGAAGAAGCGTTCTCCCTTCCCTTCACTCCCAAAGACAAGAAGAGGGATTTTGGTTGGAGAGATGCTCTCCTTGTCCATGAAGTGGCTCAAACAACCTTTACATTGGCACCTCTCAGACACCGATGTGCAGGTGCATCACCTGGGGAACTTCTGCTATAGCAGACCTGGGCATGGCCCGAAAGCCAGCGTCCCTAAGAAGTTCCCGAAGCTACTGGTCCTCAGATGACACTGTGAGTAGTGAAAAGCTGGTGCAGTGCTACTCAGAGCGTGGTCCATGGATGCCAACATGTAAGAAGTGTTTGCAAAGAAATAAGTTCAGAAATTGAAGCTAAGTGCTTAGAAACTTACAGCAATATGAGAGTAATTTTATGTCTGCTGAATCTAATAATAGAAAAATTAGAGCTCTGTATTTTGTATGCTCTTTTAAAATTTCTTAATTACTAGCAATTTATATTATATTTTACAAAAATATTTGTCCATGATGGATTAGAAATAAAAAAAAGAAAGGAAGAAACAAAAAGCAAAAAATGGATCCCCACAGATAGTTTGGGACTCTTGATGATGGCTTGTCAGGGCCACCAAAGCCATTCTAACACTGGAAGAGTTTATCTTCTATCTCCTCTTCCTCAAGGGCAGGAGCTGTATTTAATGCATCTTTCTAGTCCCTCTTCCCCAGTGCCTTAATCAAAACCTTGGTAACAAAAATAGATTAAGGGCTTCCAGATACTAGCAGTACTTCAGGGCCGTCACTATGCATGTCGTTATATCCCCTGCAGGTGTAAAAGCCTTGGCTGAATGGGGCCTTTGAGTAATAGCTCAGTATGAGTTTGTAACTCTCAGAGTGCAGAAAAAACTTCACACATTTCTGATTTATTGTACCCTATCTAAACAAAAGGATTTTAGTCTTATTTCTCTCCCATCTCCCTTTCCCCACAGGCAGCACCTCCTATCTAATACACATAGTCCTGGAGGTGTGACACTTACCTGCCATATCACTTGTGATGAGGTCTAACTTTTGTGTCATCTCCTTCTCATTGTCATAGCTGATGGTAAACTCAGTTGACTGATGTCTGGCAAAGGGATATTTAATCTGCTTCCAACAGCCTGGAATAAAGATAAACATGAAGTAAACTAATACAGAATATCAGAAATGAATGTTTCTCCATGAGTCAGAGCTCAGTCTACCTCTTGATGGCCGACTGTGACAAATGCACAGCCATGGCTCTGAGAACAGCATGCTGAGGTCATGAATGATAACACCAAACATGATCCCAACTATGTTTCCCACTGTGCCTTTAAAATGTATTGTGCACCCATCAGGTCCCAGATTATTCCTGTGTGAGACCATCTGGGCATGTGTTTCAACAATCTGTATTGACACGGCATCCATGACCCAGAGGAAACAAAACAGCTGGTGTTTAGATCCTGTGGAGGCAGAGTCCCAAATGGTCCCTGAGCTTTCCCAGGGGTCCTGCCTTGCTGCCCTCTCTCTGGATTGCATCCGACTCATAGCTTGGACATCCCGTGTCCTAACAATTCTCTGAAACCTGGCATGAGCCCTGCTTGATCCTGTCCTCACTTTCACAGAGTGGAAAATACAGTGGAGGCCTGCAGATGCTGAGAGCACTGGACTACATTCAGTTCACCAATGCGGCTTCTGTAACTTCTCCCTGATGACACAGTGTGGTGGGCTAAACTTCGGTGGCCAAAAGAAATGAATGTTGACAGATGAAGGGGATGATGTTAAATAAAAATAAAGTGACCATGAAAATTCTGAATTAAAATAGGCAGGACAAAATAAATTTTTTCCTTGTAGATTTGCCAACTTAAAGGCTATAGAGCTTGTTTTTTTAACCATGTAAGTGTAGGCCACTGGTCTAATCATGTTCTCAATCAACAGATCCTGTCCTTTCCTCAAAGCCAAAATAAAACTGTAGACAGAGCTTTTAACCTACCTGTTTTCTGAGCCTCAGTAGATCCATATGGATTTCCTTTCTTCTTCCTCCTAGAAGAATGTATATTACTTTTATTTTGTATGTTAGAAAGCATGCCTTATTATTTTATTTTCTCACTAGCTCATGCAGTCTATAAAATCCTAAAGCAATTCCTCATGACCCCAAGATCTCACTTCATCGCTATTTACTATACTCCAGAATAAAATTATGGATATCCTTAAAAGCATTTAACACAAACCCATTAAGCTAAGGCATGCTTTAACTAATGAATACCTACCTGAAGCTTAAAAACCAGACATTTCATACCCTTTCTCACTTTTGTCAGAGAACTATTCTTCATTCTACTTGTACTAATAACACATTTATAAGTTCCAAATCTGTTAAAAATATAAAAAGAGAAAACTTCGGAAGGGTCTCCATCTTTTGTTTAGATCTAATTCCTAACATTGTTACAATATGTTATAAATATGGAGTTTGGGATTCTGGAAGAGACTCAGAACTCATCTGGGTAAACTCCTTTATTTTATGTATGTAAAATGGCGGCTTGGGAGACAAGTGACTGGGCTGCTTGGTGACAAAGGTGGGACCAGAACACAGTCTTCCAGACCCTGATCTAACACTCTTTCCACTCTACAGGTGACAGAAAGAAAGATACTTCAAAGAAATACGTGAGTTCCAGGACACTTTGTTAGCGATGCTCACCAGTTAAGTCTTTATCAAAGGTTTCTTTTTTTTTTTTTTTTCTCTTTTTGTCTTTTTTCGTGACCGGCAACGGATCGCAACCCTCAGTGTCGCGCCTGTACTGGACCAGGACCAGCAATGGGATCGCAACCCTCAGTGTTGCGCCCGCACCTCACTCAGCCAGTGAGCGGCTGGTCTGTACGTGGGATCCAAACCCTTGGCGGGAGCGCCGCCGCGCTCCCAAGTGGCGCACTGTAGCAGTGCGCCACCGGGCCCGGCCCCCAAAGGTTTCTAAATGAAAAGAACTACTTATAAAGTAAAACTTGATCATTTCTACTCCTTCCTAACTTATTTCTAAAATGTAAGTTGACATTTTATCTTGCAGGAAGTTATGATGCTTTTCCATACACGAATATCTGAAGAGCAAGCTTTTTGGTTTTATAACTGTTTGCATAATTATAGAAGAAATTTTAAAATGTAAAATCACATACTTCCTAAAGGCAGCAAAGATCCCCATTCCAGCAAGCAGCAGGGCAATGAGGAGTACTGATGGAATAGCCACAGTTGTGAAGTTGATTCCTAAAGAAGGGGAAAGCCACCACATTACAACATAATTGACCAGTAACAAAATTTCATGACCTAAAACTGAACATTGATTTGAAAAGTCTTCAACTGCCTACTATATGAGGAAAATGAATACACACCAGGTATTTACTGATATTGGAAAGCAAAAATAGAGGATTCAAAATCCTGGCTAAAATTTGGGAAAATAAAATTTATTTCCCCCACCCCCTCTCAGTTTCCAATATTCCTCAAGGATTAACATTTATTCTAAGCTTGTTGCTTGCCTCATGTTAGAATTTAAAAATCAGAATTGAGGGGACGGGTTTAAAGCAGATCCCCCCAGCAAGGAACTATTTAGACAGGGAAATGATTTCAGTACAGTGTGGGGCTCTGAGCTTGGCTCCAGTACCCGTTGCCCCAGACGGTGGGTGGGTGTGGGTGTGGACCTATACCACGCCAGAGGCCTGGAACCCTGGGATTCTCATTTCCAGAGCTTTGGAGCTGGGGACTGAGAGGAAATGCAGCCTGATGACCTCAAACAGCATTTCCACTAGGTTGCATGAAACACTACACCATGTTTTCCTACAACTCCTTCTGCTTTAAGAAGGAAGGTCACTTTAACAGCCACTGAAGCAGTCCCCAAGTTTGTAGAAACTACACAAACTAAAGGAGAAATATTTGCTCTTCACCCTTCTTTTTTGTGATCATGAGTGAAAATGTATAGATAGATCATAAAGAAGAGGAAGAGGAACTTAGATGGGAACAAAATTCATGTAAGTAAATGTGGTTTTACTTATAAGAGTGAAAATTTGGGAAAAATCTAACGAACAAGCGTAGGGGAATGATTAACTAAATAATGGTATATACATACAAAAAAATACCATAAAGATATTAATAATTGTGTTTTTCAACTATTTAATAACATTGGAAAATGCTCTTAATACAATACAAAATGAAAATATATGGTACAGAAGAGAATATATGGTATGCTAACATTTTTACCTTAAAGGTAGAAATATAAATATGGTTGACTGGATACAGTGGGATATGGTGCTCATCTGTGAATGCTGATTTATTGCTGATTTTTATTTCCTTACTTAATTTTCCTAATATTTTAAAATTTTATAAAATTAATATGAAAATTATTTTATATTCTCTAAAAATAAATGTACTTTGTACTTTTAATGGTCATTACTTGAATGTTAAATGTTCACTTAATGTTCAAAATTCAAAAAGTATAAAAAGGTATGGAATGGAATGTTTCCCTCCTATCTCTGTTCCTCCTCCACAGGAAGCCAAATTATGTGTCTTGATGTTTTTCTAAAGATATTGCAGTGAATATTCATTCTTTATTCCCCATTTTTACACAAGTGCTAAAGTGATATATAGACTATTCTATACCTTGCTTATTTTTTTTAAGTTGTCAATATGTCTTCGAGAGCTTTCTTTTTGAGAGTACTTCAAAAAGTTCATGGAAAAATAGCATTAAAAGATACTACAAATCTTTCCATGAACTTTCTGAAGTACTTTCATACATTCTTTTTTTTTATAGCTGCAGAGTATTCCATTGCATTAATGTGATATTGTCTTTCCATAAAATATTTACCTATTGTTTGAAGTGCACATAAGTTTGTTTCCAATCTTTTCCTACTTACAATATTGCAATGTACAGTTGTGGGCATGCACCATTTTACACGTGTGCAAGTACCTCTGGTCCCTCTGCCCCCAGCACTGATATGACAGAGAAAAATAAATTTTGTTGAAACTACTGTGATAGTGGGTGGGGTAGCAGGTATGCTCCTTTCGAAACCACAAAACAATAACTGTTTTACCTGTGGCAATTTCTTCTGAGGGGATGGGCTCCTTGATTGTCTCATCTTCTCTCTCATTTGAAACACCAGTGTTTAGACTTGTTTTGTGCCAATCATTACCTGAATCATTACCTGAGAGAAAAAGTATGTTGGAAAAAACCACATTAGTAACAATGATAGGTGAAAGAAGATGACCAGAGTTAAATAACTCACAAACTCATCTTGAGCCCCACCTTGTGTAATCTGGCAGCCAATGAGCTCCACTTTCAAGGCTATCCTCTGATGCCACTTCTGGGGAACAATCCGCACATATCTAGCCACGATGGGAGGGATAAAATTGTTCTGCACTGGGTCCCGAAAGTTAGAGTTACCCTGAAAGACCTACAGAAAGAAGTTACTTTTACCTGAAGAGTCTATTAGTTAGTTTTCAGGTCTTCATCAGCCCACTCATACCTGATTATATGAAACCAAAGCAAGAATGCCATGTCTGTTCCATTTGTGTAGACACTCCTGATAAAGGCTCTGCAAACAAAAGCTAAGTTATCTAACTAAGGTGGTACTGCTAATCTGTTTTCTGTTTTAAATTTCATTTTGGATGAAGAAGCTAAAATTGCCCTATTGGATTACTTGATCTTGATATTTTTACATTAATATGATGCTATTAACAAGCAACCTCAAGAGCACAAGTCTTCAACTCTCACATTTGCCATCCCTTTCCTAATTCTCATTGCCACTAACAGCATCCCAATACCAATTTCCAATCCAAACATCCACCATACTTGTACTGAAGCAACCATTTCAAGTGACCAACTTTCACTTCCCAAGAATATCACGAGTATTTCATTATGGAAGTACAAAATAATTAAATCACAAAGGTTTCTTAAGGTTTTTATTGTCACTTTTCTTATTCTTGCATGCTCAGGGAACCATGTATTTTCCTAATGAAATATCTAATGTAAACACACTGATAAAAATATATGGAGTCCTGCTCCCCTACTAAATCTCTTTCTTCCAGAGCTTCTCTTACCTTTTCTTCATTATTCACAATTCCTTTATAGGTCTGCCATTTAGAATTGTTTTTGAAGTTCATCACGAAACTTTCAACATAAAAGTTGAAATTTGACTGTGTGGATCCTGCAGTTCTAATTCCTTGTAAGAAAATGTTATTTACAGGTTAGTTTTAAAAATATGCTATACATAACATGTATTATAATGTTTTTTTTTTCCTTTTTGTCTTTTTTACTGACCGGTAACGGGATCGCAACCCTCGGTGGCGGATGTACGGTACAGCAGTTATAAGAGTGAAAATTTGGGAAAAATCTAACGAACAAGCGTAGGGGAATGATTAACTAAATAATGGTATATACATACAAAAAAATACCATAAAGATATTAATAATTGTGTTTTTCAACTATTTAATAACATTGGAAAATGCTCTTAATACAATACAAAATGAAAATATATGGTACAGAAGAGAATATATGGTATGCTAACATTTTTACCTTAAAGGTAGAAATATAAATATGGTTGACTGGATACAGTGGGATATGGTGCTCATCTGTGAATGCTGATTTATTGCTGATTTTTATTTCCTTACTTAATTTACTTCAAAGAAATACGTGAGTTCCAGGACACTTTGTTAGCGATGCTCACCAGTTAAGTCTTTATCAAAGGTTTCTTTTTTTTTTTTTTTTCTCTTTTTGTCTTTTTTCGTGACCGGCAACGGATCGCAACCCTCAGTGTCGCGCCTGTACTGGACCAGGACCAGCAATGGGATCGCAACCCTCAGTGTTGCGCGGCACCACCGGGCCGGCCCATAACATGTATTATAATTTTAAGTTTCTTTCACCGCCCCCCCTTCCCATTTGAAATTTCAGATCATTCTACAGACCAATTTTTATTAGGTGAATTTAGAAACTGTTCACAAATGAGTGTTTTCACACTGACAAGGTATCATAAAAAGGTTTCACCATTGGGGTATTCTCTCTCTACTCCATACATCCATATTTACAACGTGTACACAGGTTCTTTTCACAGAGGCAGCGTGAAGATTTGTTATATTTTAAAATGATTTCAAGTACTTTGAGGTAGAGAGTAGAGGCACATATATAAATACAAGTTGAGTATCCCTTATCTGAAATGCTTGGGACCAGAGTATTTTCAGATTTCTGATGTTTTTGCATTTTGGAATATTTGCAGATACTGAACCAGTTGAGCATCCCTAATCTGGAAATCTGAAATGCTCCAATGAGCATTTCCTTTGAGCATCATGTCAGCACTCAGTTTTGGAAATCAGAGCATTCTGGATTTAGGATTTTCAAATTAGAGATGCTCAATCTGTAGTAAGCATAATTTCAACTTCAAGTCATTTTGCAATCATGAAACTGCTCCTGCAATTGTGTAAGTACCTGTTATTTTCTTTTTCTCCCCCAAATCTATCTCTAGCCACTCTCGTTGTTTGTGGTTGTTGTTGCTGTCGCCTGACGCCCACGATGGGCCTTGGTCCTGAAGTCGGGCTTGGCCAGGAGACCAGTGAACTTGTTCTCCAATTTCATTTTCCCACTGCCAAGAGGAAGAAGCTCTGATTTGCCTGTCAGCTTCCAAACTCAAGGATCTGCTGCAGCCTAAAAAAAAAAAAATGTATTCAACCTAGTATTCAGCTGACCTACCTCCATTCTGATATCAAATCAAGTTTTTAATTACCAGTTTTTTAATGGCTCAGCCTTTTATTTGACTCATTTGTACTTGGTATAGTTTGGATGTATTTGTCCCACAAAGCTCCTGTTGAACTCTGATCCTCAATGTGGCAGTGTTGGGAGGTGTTTAGTGCATGCGTTGGATCCCTCATGAACAGATTAATGCCCTCCCCTGTGGGATAGGGGACTGTGAGTGAGCTCTTGCCGGAATGGATTAGTTCCTGTGATAGCTGGTTGTTAAAAGGAGGCTGGCCCTCCCCACCCCCGTCCCCGCCCCCAACCCACCTTGCTCACCGTGTGATCTCCCTGCACCCACCGGCTGCCTGCTGTTTTCTGCCATGAGTAGAAGCAGCCTGAGGCCCACACCAGATGCAGCTGTCCCAGAATTGTGAACCAAATAAATCTCTTTTCTTTATAAATTACCCAGTCTCAGGTATTCTGTTATAGCAATACAAAAGGGGACTGATACAGGACTACAGCATCTTAAAATTGTTGCTGCTTTTCTTTTTAAAACGTCATTGAAGTCACATCTCCTATAAGTGACACCTCTTTGTCCCCACTATAGATTTTCTTTTCTAACCTTCGAAATTCACCCTGATCTTAACAAATTGTAGTGTGTTTTAAAGGTTTAAAATGCTGAGGTTTTTTTCACATTAAAGGATTTGGAATCAGCGGGGAACTCCAGTCTGTGTACCCTTGAAAAGCAAGCACATCCAGATCCTCTGAAGATGAGTAACCTGTACCCAACATCCTTCCCCATGACCTTAACTGTACCATGTCCGGGAGATGCGGAGGTAGCAAATAAAGGCCACACTTGTCTTCCTGGGCAAAGAAGACATATTCATATTTTTATGTTGTTTCCCTTTAAATATTTTACTTTATGCCAAGGAAGAATATTTACCTAGAATATATTCCATGGGGGAGGAGCTAAACCACCTTTATGTTATATGCTTCTGTTCAGTAACTTAATTCAAGATAACCACAAATCAAATTGCAATATTTAAAAGCTTTTTCTGTTAAATTCGAACATAAAGGAATTGATCTTAAACTAAAAGTCATTTCACTTTCTATTCTTTTTGGCAGAAGTTTGAGAGAGGTTAGATTATAAAGAAAAATATTTTCTGTTTAATTTTAATTAGGTTTATTGTCTTGTGTATTTTTATCAGCACCGCACTCTACCGAGTGAGCCACGGGCCGGCCCTGTCTTGTGTATTTTTAAGTCATGGGAAATTTGGTACAATGTGGTCTGACAAAAAAAGGAAAAAAAAAATCTTTTAAACTTAAAATCTGAGGGGTTGGAGGAATAAACTACCACTGAAGAATTTTAAAATAGCAAATTCTTAAGGAAAGCATAATCCTTACCATTGGAGGTAAACAGAAATCGCTTGTCTGACAGGGAACCACTGAAACAATAAAGATAAACATGAGGTGAGCTGCTTAACCAGATCTTAGGACTAATACAGAGCTGTGTCCCAGGCTCATACAACCTTCCCACATGGATCCTCCCAATGCCCCTGCAAGGCCACTGCTATTATCTCCATCATCAGCAGCCTGTAGGTCAGGAAACTCAAGCCCATGGAAGGAAAGCAACTTTTCTAAACTCATCAAGATGACAAGGCCCAGGACTCTGAGACACTGCTTTTGAATCAAAACCTGCGCAGTTTCCAACACGCCATATTTATCGGGAAGGAATGTGCAGATAAATAGTCTCAGGAACAACTTTCAATCCCCATTAATTAATACATGATGATGGAGGCAGAAAGGATTACTGCCCTGAAATCTCCCTTTGCTTTAGCAGTCATCTTAAAGCATCCCACTTTGTTTTTCATTGTCAACAAGAAAGGGGGAAGCCTGGGCACTTTTAAAAGAAATAGCATGTCATTTCCAGCTGTCTTCTCTATTCTTTTCCTAAGGGGTCTTGCCCCAGAAATGTTGCTCCAGGGACAGCCTCAGCCCTGTCTCTGTCTCCTCAGACACACTCCAACCTAGTGTAACAGCCAGCACCAAGTCATGAACCAGTTCCTGCTTCTGGAGAAAATGCATAGCATCTCACCAGCCTGGCCTGGGCCCTCCGTCTGGCATCAATCCTCTGGCCTCGATCCTCTGACCTCTTGACACTTGTGGTTCTACACCTTGTATCACTCTCACAGAGGAACTTACTGAATCAACCTTGTTCTGTAGTTGTCTCCGTCAGTGCAGAAGAGATTCCTAAGACCCAAGATCATATCTGCCCTTTAAAAAAATCCCTCACCAAGTCAGTGGTGTAAAAAATACATAGAATCAATGGAAAATTTGGATTTCTCATTGCTTCTTTTATGTGCATAGTACTTACTATATTAGATACTGAGGTAAACACAAAAAGGTAGACACCACTGCTGTGTTTAATTATTTTACAATCAGAGGCTGGCCGGTTAGCTCAATTGGTTAGAGCGCTGCCTTGTAATGCCAAGGTCAAGGGTTCAGGTCCCTGTATCGGCCAGCCACTAAAAACAAACAATCATTTTACAATTAGAGTATTACTTATCATTTAAAATGTTTAACTCTGAATTATATGAAAGAATAATGGATAGAGAGAGAATTAAAATATGAGGCATACAGAGATCTCAAAATACTCTGGCCAAGAGAATAAGTACCTTACCATCAAAAGCTCTTTTCAGAAGTAACAGGTAGTAAAACTCTCTGGAATTAATTTTCTTTCACATTCTTTGTCTGTTCTCAGGCTCCATAAGCCCTGGCATTCTAAATAAAGATTGTGTTATAATGTCTGCACTGAATATAATGCAGGCACCAATCATTCCTCCCATGAGAAAACTCAGATCCACTCGAGACTTGCCTAAGGTCACAGTTAGCGACCACACTGGGACAAGGACCTAGCTCTCCTGACTGTTAAAGAATGTTGCACATTGTTGCAAACCTTTTAAAAATTTTTATTAAGATTTAATTAGTGTCTCTTTTTTGTCTGACTTTTTTCATTTTCTCTGGTGTTCCTGCACTAAATGTTACACATGAAATGTGCCCCAAATAACACCACTGCAACCCTGAGAGCCCTAAGCTCGCTTCCACTGCCATGAAATATCGAAATTTTTATTTTTTGTTGTTGATCAAAGAGAATAAATAACGGAAAGAAAAATAAATTTGGAGTTACCCCTAAGAAGAAGACATCAAAAAAAGCTCTCCTTCTAATAGCTCTCTGCCTGGTTTTCCTCCATTATCAGCTAGAATATGTTTTTCCATTTCACTTACTAAATTAATTAAATCCAACCACTTAAAGAATTCTATAGGTAAATAAGCCTTCTCTTTTAAAAATGAAAATACCCTAGGAGAGTTAGGGTTCTGAAGCATTCACACATTAGGGTGAATGAATTCATACCAATTACAGAAATAAGAAGCCTCCCACACAGAGGGTGTCAGCCACACCCCTCTGATGTCTGCATCCAGTCCAGCGAAGACTACCAAGCCTCTGCCGGAAGCCCCCTGGGATCCCCTGCCAGAATGAGAGGGGTGTCACGGGCCTTGACCAAGCCCCACGCTCCCTCTGTCCTCATCCCCCTCGCTATCTCCCTACCCTCTTCTCCTCTCTCCCTCCCCTCAACTGCTCTGCAACATCTTAGAATGTAAAAAATAACGATAATCATAAGCATAAATTATTTAAAAATGAAAAAAAAAAGAAAAGAAAAGAAAAGAAAAAAGAAGCCTCCCAGAGGGCTACAGAAGCATTCAAGAAAAGTCTGATGTGAACAGAAAGAAAGGCTTCCCCTTCTGACAGTCAGAGCCATCATCCTCTGGATGAGGTCACTCCTTCCTGATTCCATTCTGGCCTCCTCAGATCAAGGAAGTGACCTGACCCAGGATAAATCCCAGAAGAGCCCTGGCTATTTGCTTTGGGACCCCTTCTTCCTCAGCTGCAATGCTTCCTTCTGTGTTTTTTCCTGAATGGCAAACAACCATGTGTGGGAACATAAGTTCAATGACCGCACGTAGAGTGGTTTCCCAACAACAAAACAACACAGATAACAACAACTGCTCCCTGAAGATCCGGGAATCTCAGTGAGTGGAAGAGACTGTACTAACATACGATTTACTCTTTGCTCAGTGCAAAAGAACAGTGCAAAATCTCAGAGCTAGAACGAGGAAGGGACCTTGAGATAACTCCGACGTTCCAGGTACTCCCACCAAAACAAAAATCAGACAATTGGTTCAAATAACTATATGGAATATGGAGCAAAGCTTTTTCTAATTTATCAATAGTTTATATTTCTGTACTCTTCTTTTTGCATGGAAGTTTAATTTCAAATTATATAAAAATTATATGTATTGTCTTAGGTCCAGTTGATGCAGAAGTAATTGAGAGCATAAAGCCTACTTTGATTCAATAGTTTTGATAATTTTTGTTCAAAAGTAAAATAAAATCTAAAGAGTACAGTTAAACTTTTTACTATCCTACTTTCCTACAAAAGAAGCATTCAAATATATGCAAACATAGGCAAGAGTTTCCAAAAACACAAATTTAAAGCCAAAGGCCAGTTTTCATTCCTATTTGTTGGGAGATAGCAGTTCCAACAAATTTAGGCCAGAGCCTATTATCTTCCTGAAATAGCACCCGTGTATCAATAGAAGAAACCATCAAAAAACATAAAAAGAAATAGAGCCTCAAAAGTCAAGGTCAAGCTGACGTTTAAAGTCTTACTGTGAATAAATAATTGATTTTACTATAAATGAAGATGCAAATTTTAAAATAAAATTTTAATGTTTTAAAGAGTTTGAGGTAAATATAGATGTGGAGAAAATATGTGTGTGTGTATGTATAATTTTATTTGTTTGAGAAAGGACTTTAATTTCTAAAGGCATCCTGTTACTAAACTGTTAGATCTTAAACTTTGGCACAAACTTAGAGACTAATCTGTCTTTGAATGTTCAGATAATACGAAAAGAACACTTTGTGGCTCTCACAGCTGACAATCCTATCTAGAGAAGTAAAGTAAGTGGGAAGGCCACTGCAGGCGGAGAACACCACTACTGAGAGGTAAGCTGCACGTCCAAGCGTGTGGTGTGCTCCCTGTCCTAGGTGAGGAAATGTCTTCTCCTCTGTGGACTACACACAGCATTGCCTGCATTGCTTGTGAAAGAGTTAGACTGGAGCACCCTCTCCAGTTACCCACAGCCTGGCCCCGGAGCTTGGAACTGCCACTGAGCAGCTCTGCCTTCTCCTCAGCCTCCCACCAGCCAGCCTGCTGCCGTGAGCGTGGGGTACCAATGCTCACCACGACTCCTCCCCAGCGTCCCTCCTCGGGCCTTGACTCTACCCCTGTACTTCCTCTAAGCCTGTTCCTGACTCCCACCAAACCCAAGGCTTGCCTCCTTCATGAGGTGACCTAATCGACCTCTCTCCTAACTCAGTCACTGCCTCCTATCCCCTCCCATGAGCGCAGGCCAACACCCCGTATCATGAAATACGTTTCAGTCCCAAAGTTTACTTGTGAGTTCATAAATTGGTTCTTTGGAACTTAAAACATATTTTCCTAAAAAAACAAAGTTAAAACTTGTGGTCAGGACACCTATTTGACCTACAACATTGCTAACTATAATACATTTAAATAAAAAGTAGAAGGGGGAAGGGAAATATTATCAATGCTGACTTGGGAACTTATCCACCACCCATAATGTGATTTTTACCAGATAAGGTGGTCCACAATGCATTGTGAGAATGGAACAGTAAAAGAGGATCACGTTCTTTCTGCATGCAAGAGGGGACTAGGGCAAAATGCCAGGGCAGGGGGAGATCTTCACACAGATTCGTGAATGGTAGAAGATATAGGGCCTGACTTACTTTTTCCCACTTCTGGATCCCAAAATGCCTATAGCCTCTGTCTTATGCCTTATTCTTGGGACCCAGACCAGGTGGAAACCTGTCCAAGAAAAACACAGTGTCGCAGCAGCAGAAAGACATTTCCAGGGGCAAACAGGCAGCGAGGGGGCATTTCTCCCTCACTTGGTTTCCACTCGAGGGGTGCCACCCACTTGACCACTCAGAGCTGCCACATGTGTGGTCTGTACCATGTGGTGGCCCTGTAATGAGTTCTACACAGCTCTAGTTTCTACTTTCAAGAGGCTGAGGAAATCTGAAAGTATGAAAAGTTTAGGCTGACCTGTTTAATGCTATTGACAAATTTTTTTCTTATGGACTTAAAAGAACAGAGATGACACAAAACCAAGAAGCTAACAATGTTAACAAACTTTCATCTTTTTTCACTTCCAAGCTAAGATTCATCATTAAGAGATTGTCTCTAGGAATCTTCTAGGGAGCTCCGTGGTTCTGCAGGGGTTTATTTCAGTTCCCTGTCTCCATCAGTATCTTAGGTAGTACTGAAGATAACCAGTAATTTACCGAAGGTGTAAAAAACAAAAAAGAAATGAACCTTTATTTTCTACCACTAAAGCACCCGAGAGTAAAAAGACTCCTCTGCCATGGGGCTTCAGATGGGTGCCCTTTTAATTTACATGTCAGCATAACCACTGAGCTTTTTTATTGCTACATTTATCTTCCACAGAGAGACCATAAATGCTGCTCTAAGATCTCACACATATTTTTCCCAGTTGAGAATCCCTTGGTATCACATCCCTGCTGTCCTTTTGAAACTGTGAGCTGATTAATTATGCCTTCAGGGTTACCTTCCACTCAGAACAAAAGACAAGTACTTACTCCCTCGACAGCACACCATTGGCCAGGACTCCCTCATATCGGCTGATCCCTTTCCGCTGAAGCACGCTGATCTGGCCCCCCAGTTCATCTGCAATTATTCCCGCATGGATGGCAGCTTTGCACAACAAAGAGGTCTGAAACACAGCAACATCATCATTCACAGCTAACTTAAGAACACATTTAAAATATGGTTGGAGTTTTCTGTTTTGTGTCTGTGGTAATGTATAGTAGTGGCCCCCCAAAGAATAACACCTTCTGGTGGCCATGCTTTTGTGTAGTCACCTCGCACACTGATTTGAACTGGACCCTGTGGCTTACTTTGTTCTCCTGCAGATAACGCAGGCCAGCCAACTGCCACACATGGGAGTGAAGCCACCATATAGACCATCCACCCCAGCTGATCTGCCCTGTGATGGCAGCCTCAGGAGCAATTCCAGGCTAAGAGAACTTAGCCCATCAGCCCCAGCTGCTCACCCACAAACCCATCAGCAAATAAAATGGCTGTTATTTCAAGCTACTAAATTTTGGGGCGGCTTGTTAAACCGAAATAAATATCAGATCCAGTTTCTTATACTGAGGTTACTAGATGCACTTATTAAGTATCATTTGAAAAGGTGAATCTACCATACCACAGCTTCGTTTTTTAATTAAGTGTGAGATTTAACATGACATCAAAACCAAAATGGTAGTGACAGCCACAGAACACTAAATGGGACAGAAAACTTTTTTTTTTTTTTTTTACTTTTTCTTTTTTGTGGCTGGCTGGAATGGGGATCTGAACCCTTGACCTTGGAGTTATACGGCTGCATTCTAACCAACTGGTACATATTAGTTGACAAAGTTCTTAGAGGGAAGATGAACAGCTCAGGGCCCACAGCCCCCACCTCATTTCCTGAATCTCCTCAGAGAATCAAACAGCCGGTGCCTGCTCCACCCTGCATGGCCAGTCTGAGGCTCCCACAGGCTGCTGACCGTGCTGACAAACCAGGAAGGAGCACCTGACCGGCTCTGATGAACAGAGAGTTGGTTGCAGAACTGGAGCTGGCTCCATCGGGAAGTGGGGCTATAGAACCAACTAGGACTCTTCCATGGAATGCCTAGTCCCATAGGTCCCCAAGCACAGGCTTGTGTGGGAGGATAATAAGGCAGTCAGGCCCAGGACTGAGAGGCTGAGAAAGATCATTTTCCAAACAAAATTTAGCTATGCTCCACTTCTCCATGACAGCTAATGCCAAAAAAGAGAAGCAGCTCATGAACCTGTGTCTCAACAAGTAGACTTAGGAATTTCCTTGTGCTGATGACAACGCTCTTTATCTTATTTGCAGTGGAAAAATTCCCTTAGATTTAGGTTACAATATTAGGAGGACCTTATAATTAATCTTGTTGCAATATGAGAATTTTTGTGACCTTCAATTCAGAGAGTTCATATTTCCCAAAGTAGATTAGATTTGGCAAAGTAAGTCAGTTTTGCAATAACTACTATCATAGCCAAAAAGCCAGGGAAGACTTCACAAGAGAAAAGAAATATGCTGAAACACAGATGCAGAAACTACCCTTCCTGATTTGGGGGGAAGAGGAAGAAAAAGAGGAAGGAGGAAGAGAAGGAGAATTATGAGAATTATTATTTTTCCTCAATTTACTCATTAAAAAGCTTTCTCATCACTGGTTTGTACTCTTGGGGTACGGAATGGAGGAGCCAATTGTAAAGGGAAAGTCCTGAATTTAAATTCAACAATTTAGTTTGACACGCTGGCTCTGACTCTTACTCCACTAGTATGCGCACGTCATTTCCCTGCTCTTGACCTTGCTCCCCAATTCATCTGGACAATGAAAAGGCTGAACTGGATGTTGTCTAGTATCTTTTCTGAAGGGTTGTCACCTTGTGATTCTAAAAGGTACCCAGTGTACTTTTATAGGATCCATGCAGGCCTATCTCCCTTTCTAAGCCCCAGCATGTAAACATAAACAATCCAGTGTTCTGCTGGGCATCTACTCCCACTGTCCTTGGGATCCTCTGTCTTCCTTGGAATTCTGTCTGAGGTCTTCATCCCAGCAGATGGTCTTCATCCCAGGAGCCCTGCCCTACATAGAAGTGCTCACTGGACCTGGCATGTTTAAGGGCCTCCTTGGTTATCAGACGACAGGTTCACAGGTCAGCAAGGAACAGGACCAACCAGCACCACTGGCCAACAAATATTCTCATTTCCCACAGTACCCAGTATTGAGGGAATCCAGTGGTATATATCCTTTTTATGGAATTTACTTAATTGCAGCTTACCTTTTTCCATAATATTAAGTGCAAGCCAGAGGCCCTCCAAGAGAATAGCCACCAGGTATGGCTATCATATTATTATGATAAAATTACCAGTCTTTTCAGGGTTATTTCCTTTAAAAAAAAAAAATCACTCCCTCACCCAACCAACTTTAACAAGATTGACACTTATGCTTATATAAGTTGTGGTTTTTTGGGGGTAATAATTTTTAAAATTCATACTCGAATCTGATTTTTAAAAATTTGCTTTTGAACAGTTGTACAGTTTATACTTTGATTTTTCTAGCAATTTTTTTTTTTTTTTTTTGGCAGTTGGCCAGTGTGTGGATCTGAAACCTTGACCTCATTGTTATCAACACTGCTCTAACCAATTGAGCTAAGAGGCCAACCTCTAGCGATTTTTGAGGTGTAAGTCTCACTGAACTGCAAATATAGGAAAGCCACGTCACTGGTCTATGTTAATTAGTGAATTGCCTTAAAGAAAATTTATTAACTCAATGAAATAATTTAAATGTAAAAATTTTTCAGGAAAGGGTATACAATGGACAGCCAACGCCAACACCTACATGATGGCTCAGGCACTCACAGGTGTATGGTATTATCTACAATAAACCTTTCTGAAGTTCACTGAGCCACAAAAATGGCCAAACCAATTAGCATGAGGTAAGACTAAAATAACCTTCCAAGCGATTATCAAATCATCCCAGAATTGAAGCATTTTCTTAAATCTTTCTTTAGGAAAAATCAACCTGTACTGAAAAGTATTGATGACAATGTATTAAAAGGAAGTTTAATATATAAGTAAACATTTTAGATTGCATTTAATAAAACATGAACAGAAAACGGTAAGGCGGCATAAAGCACATGTTTTTTTTTTTTTTTTTTAAAGATGACCGGTAAGGGGATCTTAACCCTTGACTTGGTGTTGTCAGCACCACGCTCACCCAGTGAGCCAACCAGCCATCCCTATATGGGATCCGAACCCGTGGCCTTGGTATTATCAGCACCGCACTCTCCCGAGTGATCCACGGGCCGGCCCATAAGCACATGCTTTAAATGTTGGTGGAATGATGGTAAAATGTTAAAGTTTAAATTATATTACTCCTATCATATGAATTGTTCCTATGTTGCCACATTATTCATAATTATCATATTAATAGCATTTCTTTATATAAGTAATATTCATTCATTACAGAAATGTTAGAAAATACGAAAAAAATAAAATAAAAATCGCCAATATTTTGCCATCACCCAGAGATAATCATTCACTACTATAATGTATTTCCCTCAGGCTTTTCTCCAGTTTCTCCCCTTTTCCACCTAAACCAGGAATACACTATGCATATGTACTGTCTTTATTTTACAAAACGTCTTGAACACTTTTGGGAAAGAAGAGTTACTGAAACAAATTAAGTGATGTGTTCCACTTAAAAGCAGATGGTACAGTCAGCAGGCTTGGGAGAAGGTGCCGAGAGAAAAGCTGTTCTGGGGGCAGGTAAGGCAGATCATAAAGGGAAGCCCATACTACTTTGCTGGCATGGGAAGCAAACACCAATACGGATGCCTTAATTCATCAGTCAAGGAAACAGAATCACAGAATCTTAAGAATCCAAAAAGACCTTTACAATTTCCTGCTTATACCTCCTGACAGACCACCCCCATCTCCACCCTGCAGCACCCCTTCCCACACATATACAGTCTATCCCTGACAAACGGTTCTAACATCTGCATCTGACATTTCCAGTGCAGATTATGATTAGGAACTCATTGTTTCTTGAGACATTCTATCTCATTTTGCAATGTTCAATTATTCCTTACATGCAACTGAAATTGGCCTCCCTAAACTTTTATCCACTTATCCTAGTTCTGCCTTTTCAAGTAACGTAGAATAAACCAATGCCTTTTCTACAATACCTCTTTAAGACAACATATTCTTCTCTGACACAGAGCACCTGCTTCTTTAACAGCTCCTCTAGCAACTTATTTTACAAATTATGTCATGCTTACCTACAGGATATGCTTTGGTTGTGCAAAAGACTATTCCCTTCCAGAAAAGACCTGCTACAACTGAACACATTTTCTAAGATGAAGGCATGTGGAGGCAGACTCTAAGATAAGCCTCATGATCCCTGCCTCCTGGTATTCCCCTGGGTGTAATTCCCCTGAGCGTGGGCAGGAGCTATGACTTTCTTCTAACTAATAGAATATGGCAAAGGTGATGGGACACCACTCCCATGACAAACTTACATAAGATTATAACCTGTCTTGTTAGGAGACTCTCCCTTGCTCGCTTTGAGGAAGCGAGCAGCTGGACTAGGAAAACCCACATGGCAAGTAGGTGATGTGGCCTCTGGCCAAAATCCAGGAATAAACTGTGGCCCTCCATCCAACAACGCAGAAGTAACTGAATGCTGCCAACATCATGTGGTCTCAGAAGATCTTACATCAGTTGAACCTCAGGTGAGACTGCAACCCTGGTTGACATCCTGATTGCACTCCTGTGAGACCCTAAAGCAGAGAACCCAGCCAAGCCATGACTGGACTCCTGACCCACAGAATGTGAGAGATAATAAATATGTGTTGTTTTAAGCCTCTAAGTTTGTAGCAATATTGTTATGCAGCAAAAAATATCTAATACACCCATAATATGAAGACACACAAAAAAGGCACTAATCAGACTTCTTTGAAAAAAATTAGCTTTCAAAATACAAAACTTCCCTCTACATAAAATCATCCTAAAAGCAAATGGTACAAAACCAGTTAGTGAGTCAAGCAGGAAACTTGCTTGCCAGCACTTGGAGATCATGTACTCAGACCTACCATGCAGGAAACCATTTACCTGTTACACTGAAAGAGAGAGCTCCAACAGGAGAAGGCAAGATAAATACCTAAGGTAAGATAAAACAATGCTACCTCTCTTATTGTACGTAATTCTTAAGTTACTTCACACAACAGGAAAATAATAAATAAATAGTTTCTACTGTTAGGGAAAAATCTATACTTCAACTTTTTATTCCTCTGATCATTTTTAACTTTTAATTTCCTGATCATTCAGGAATATCTTATGCCAAGTAAATTTTCAAACTGAGGTAGTGTGAATCACTTAAGATTCATACAATTTATAGGCCAAATGAAATCCTGTGTTAATCTTGTAGGTAAAGATAATAACAGGAAAAAAGAAACAAAAAGCAAGATAGTGAAACCTGCCATTCCCAGAATCAGGATTTGCTACAAGCAAAAATTAAAGTCAAGCCACCCCCTCAACCACAATGAATTATCCATCTCCTAGAATGTATACATAAAGGCTAATTTTTGCCATGCATGAAGACACATGGCAGAACTTTTAGAATAGTTCCATCATTATATAGATTTTCACATTTCCAGTAACTCAAGCCAATTCCCACAAGCCAGTCGGTAAATCCAACTATTTTAAATAGCAATGTAAATTTTTTAAAAATCAGGTAATAGATTTCCAGGACAGAAATCTGTAAACAGAAAGAAATGGAGAATTATGTATTTGGAGATAGGGTATATAGTTTAGAAAAATGATTTCCTGGGAATTGATTTTTCTCTGGGATCAACATAAATAACCCAGAGAGTCTCATTAAGCATAAGAACTTGGGATTCAGGAAGGAAGGGGAATAATACATAGAGTAGGGCAGATGGCTTCAGTGGCACCAGACACAATGTCCCTATTCTGTGATGTGACTATTCATGTCCTTGGCTCTATAACATGAACCAATTGGAATGTTAAAAGAAAGAAATAAATTACAGTAAAATGGTTGCAAATCTATGACCTCTTATTAAAGGAGATGGAATAATACTCAGGTTTTGTTTTTCATTTCATTTACAGTATGCTTAACTGGAAATGCTAGAAATAGGAATGAGTGCATGGAAAACCTTGGTTTTTATACTTATTATTTCATTTCATTTATTCTCAGAGAGGAGAGAATCATGCATCTACCTAGAGTTGTATATCGCATTTGACTTTACTTTGTAATGAATTTAGGCAGGGTAACCAGCACTTACTTCTTCTAATTCCCTCTCTGCCATTACCCTCAATTACTTACATCTCTATATCCATCCATCATGTTCCCAGAAATGTCTCCTGCTATGTCTTTACAACCAGCTGGACAGAATTTGCTAGAAAAAGAAAAATAAAGAATTTATGTTATTAAATTATACTTAAACAAAAAAGTATTAAATTATACTTAAATTTAAAAAGTATTTTCTCTCCTCCATAGAACATGTGGAAATATCTTGCTTAAATAGTAAATCAGAAGCCTGATTTGTATAAATACAGATTGATCTAAAATGTTAATCTGAAGGCAAGTTTTACACAATAATTATTTGGTTTATATAAGGATTCACCACAAACTCTATTAAACAATGAGTCTCTCCATTGCACTTTGATTTTAAGATGCCCCAGAAGTATATTTAAGAAAAAAGGAAGCACGGTAAGGTGACTAGGTTAACAGATAAGTTTTGCATATTACATAGCAGCCAGAAAAGAGGATTTAAATGTTTTTGCCATATAAATGATAAATGCATGAAATGCATTTTGGTAATTGGCCACAATAATCAACCATACTGTACATTGACAAAATAAAATTTTAAAAAAAAGCAATAAATATATAAATAAAAAGATTAAAAAAGATAAATGCATGAGATGACCGATACATTAACTACCCTGACCCAAGTATTAAACAACATATATATGCATCAAAATATTAGATTGTACTTCGTAAGTATATACAATTACAATGTGTAAGTTAAAATTTAAAAAAAGAAAAAAGGAAAATTTCTAAACATTATATACAGTATGATCTCATTTTTATAAAAAAGAAATATCTAAAATACGTAACAATTTATGTCTTCTATGGATAAAAAGAAGACAAGGAAGAATATTTGAGGATTTTCTCTGGGAGTAGAATTGTGAGGAATTTTCAGTATATCCAAATTTTATCATTTCCACATGTAATGAACAGGAAAAATTAAGAAATCTTTCTTTTTTTTTTTTCTTTAACTTAGTCTCCAAAATCTGGGGCTGTATTTTATACCTACAGCACATATCTATTTAGACTCACCGAAGTTCAAGTGCTCAATAATGACATGTGGCTAGTGGCTACTATATGGGACAGTACCGGTCTATGTTAGTTATGAATTACTTATACAATAAGGAAAAAAAAAGATATATTTTAAAATTAGGATTCCATTTACTTAACAGTCATTTTTTAAGAATCTTTCCAGAAACATGTTATGGCATGTAATGTGGTCGAAGGGTCGGTCTTGGTGTCAGGGGTAGGGTAACCCAAGCTCCGGCACTACCTAGCTAGCTGTGTGACCCTGAATATTGCAAATAATCCCTCTTAGATTCAGTTTCTTCATTTCTAGAGGGAGGGAGGGAGGGA